ACATACATACATACATACATACATACATACATACATACATACATACAGTTGTAATGTAAACCAGCGTCTGTACTTTTGATACTGAGTGTTTTTAGCTAGTAAAGCCTGTAACTGTTTCTGTGATAGAAATACTGAAATATTGAAATTTAACATGTAATCTGTGTCCATAATAACCAGATCCTGAAAAGTAGATGTGGCTTTCTGGATACAGAGCACAAACATTTACATTTAACTGATTTTGATTAATCGTTTTTAAATTCACAGTTATTATATATATATATGTATACATACATGCATGCATCCATACATACATCTTTGAAACATCTAAACAAAGATTTTTTTTTCAAGGTTCAAAATGTCAGATTTTCTGGTCCTTATTGCGTGTTTTTATTATGACTGAGGTTGTTCTGTTCTGGCAATCTTTTTCAAAGTAGATGTAAAACATTTTTCCAACGAAATTAGTTAAGATATAGGGAACAAGTAACGAAACCAACTAAAAAATTGTGATATTACCACCAGGGATCATTTAAGGACTATTTTATGCTAAACCATCTGTATATCCATGTCAGTCACAGACACACTGAAAGAACCAAATGTAGAACAGAAATCAGAATTGATCTGACTTTTTGGCGGAGGAGGGCAGAAACACTCAATGCAAGTGAAACCGCTTCTTTCGGCAGTTTTGAGCTCAGTTTATTAGACACATACAGGATAAATATTCAGGCCTCAGACACACAGGAAGAGACAGAAAGGAGTCACACGCCGGCATCAACAGCTGTTTAAATCCAACACTGTCCATTCTCATTATTTTTCCACTCTTTTCTCACCGTATGGGCTTATTTGATTTCATGATAACATCCCTGAGAAAGAAATGGGACGGCTGATGTGTCCTGATCGAATTCCTCCTTTAAACGTTTCGAAAAATCCACCGACATGAAACAAGTTCTCCATATCTAAGTCTAACCGTCTAAACCACAGAAAGAATAAATCTACCTCACTACACCGTGTTTAACGATATTTTAGACCCGATCACACGACCATAATCCCAGGATATTAAAGTTATTTAGGTATTCCTGATTAAAGACCTAGTTTTCCTAAAGTTTTAAGCAAATCAAAGCAAATTAATTCTGTGCTGACTGTGATCTGAAGTGGAGTAAAAACAGCGTCCTGCTTCCCAGAAATCCGACAGAGCTGCACTTTGAGGTGGTTTTCGATTTTAAAAAAGCACTTTCCCTGATGGGATTTGATATAAATATAGAGCAGCTCCCCTGCTGTTGTGCTAAGTGTGTGAAAGCAGGTGCAGAGAGCCCTGCTGGACCCTGATGCAGAGGTATGCCGCCACTCAGCTCCAAGGCGCTCAGCTCCACGCCGGCCGTGTCGGCCATCCGTCTGGCGGTGCCGGAGTCCAAGGGCTACGAGGCCGCCGGCTTACACAGCAGCCATTTTGCTGGCCTCTCGGACCCCGCTGAGGTAGGCCCCCGTCACGGTCTGAGGGAAGTGTCGGTTGGTGGCCTGGTGGGAAAAGAAATGACAAATAATGAAAGGTTAAACCTGGTTTAAAACCAGTGGAATCAAACACAGTCACATATTGAGCATTAGCTGGGTTACTGATGCTCAGAGCCTAAACACAGCCAGCTGGACTTCTTCTTCTTGTGAGACTTTTCTCCTCACATCCTGATGCTTCTTGAAGCCTGAATCCTGAAACAGTCAGCGGACTCGGTGAGCTGGTGATCCGTTTCCTGTCCTCACTGAGTTTAAGTGACAATATTCAGCCCGCAGAGTTCATTTTATTTTCTCATTTCTTTTGTCACCAACTGGTTGAGGTAGTTTGGGTTGGGCAGGCAGATGGACTTCTTGGAGCTAAAAGAAAGACGGGCTGCCGCCCGTCTTCACAAAGCTGTAGGACATCTGAGACCACCTGTCTTTGCTCCAGTGGGTCACAAAGTAGTTCACAGGGTCTGGGACGTCCTGTGGGAGGAAGAGGACCTTTAATCCACAAGCGGAGGGGAAATCCCATCCAAAATGAGGTGAGACAGGTTTATGTTACAGTTTGAGTTTTGTGTCCACGACAACTCAAAGTACCTTACATTTTAAAAGCAGACAATGAAGATAAAGAAAACAAATAAAAATAAGTTTAACCAAATAAAATAAATAGATTAAAGGCTAAAAAAAATTCAGCTGTAGTAACCCTGTTTCACCTCTTCAAGAAGACCGATTCAGATTTGAGGAGCATCAAACTGAAATGAAGCCTCTCCTGGTTTGGTTCTGACCTCTAAGAAATCAGGTGTGTTTTAAGCTGCATAGTTAATGGTTCTGATGCTGATAAATATGAGAGAAGTGGCCCAAAGAGCCGATGATCACAGGGAGGGCTGAGGGTGATCCCTCCACAGGGATGAATGGAGATACAAGCAGAGGTCGGGGCTGTGGGGCCAGGAAAGGGTTAATAACCCTTTAGTTTTCTACCCTTCCATCATCCATCGCTTATCTGTGGTCGGGTTGGGGGGCAGCATCTTAAGCAGGGAGATGGTTCAACTGGGGAATGATACACTTGAGTTTAGATGTCTTAACTGAGTTTATGCAGCGTCCAATCAGATCTCCAACATGATAATAATGAGTCTGCATACCCCTCAGCATGTAGCTAGTTGCTCCCCTGGTAGTCTCAGCTGACCCTTGACCCTCTATGCTGTGGCCGACCGGACCCCTGACCGGTGCTCACCTGCTCGGGGAAAAGCTCCCTCAGGACCTTCAGGCACTCTCCCACCACCTCCTGGTCCTCCAGCTCGCAGACAGCAGGAACGGCGTCGCCAGAGATGACCGACATCAACACCGCCTGCTTCCCCTGTTGGACACAGTTACATCAGCCAGGGCCTCAAAGGGTCTGAGCTTGGTTTCAGGGATCGGATACCCAGAACCTCACAGGACTGGGTCCTTCATTCTCCTCCCAGTCTAAACACACACATCTGGAGCAGATACTCAGACTCCCATGATGCCTCAGAGACCCTGAGGGGGAGGAGCCGACCCTCTGATCCAGAACCAGTCGGCTCCTCCTTGGTCATGGCTTTAAAAACACACCTGAGGGTCCAGGTCGTAGAAGACGCTGAACAGGCCTCGCTTTTCCGGTGCCGGCGGGATGTGACCAAAGTAGTCGGCTCCCTGGATCTTGGAGTCCCAGAACCGGGTCGGGAACTGCAGAGCGATCTGCGGGACGTTCGGACTGAGGTTTAGCTGCTGGGCACCGACAACCTCTGGAGGCGGGCCGGCGGGGATGGGAGGTACCTTTTCGATGATGCCGGCTCCCAAGCTGTGGATGGCCTTCAGCTTCCTCTCAGGAAGGGGGGGGTGGAAGTGGAGGAGGCCCCTCTGGAGCAGGGTCAGCGGGACGGTGACCAGAACCTGGAAGAGAAAGCAGCCCGATGAGGACTGGATCCATGAACAGAACCTGCCCTGAATCAAACGTATTTCTGTCCCCCATATCATCCTGTCCTGGTTTTGGTTCTGATTAACTTTTTCCCTAGTTCTGATGGAGGTTTCTTCTGGTTCTGATGGAGGTTTGTTCCTGGTTCTGGTCCTGATGAAGATCTCTTCCTGGTTCTGCTGGTGTCCTTGGTTATGAACGAGCTGGACCCATTTGGAATACCTGGATCCTGACGGCTTAACTGAACCGGATCAGAGGTGAAATCTTTTGTCATCTGCTGCTTTAGAGATCAACCTGAACCCAGAGCCTTTGGTCCTGTAACCCAGTGGGCCGGTTTCAGAGCCTCTACCTTCTGGGCCGTCCACTGCGACCCGTTTGATGAGGTCACTTTCACGAGGTCCCCCGAGTAATCCATCGTCTGGACCTGTCCTTTCCTAGAAGACAAAGTTTAGTGAGGAAGAAATCTGTGGACCAGCTGAGCCATCGACAGCTGTACATAAAAACCATCAGTTCAACCACAACGATGTCATCAAACTATGCTCCTGAAATGGACACATTTCCTTTTCCCTCCTCATTTGGATCCAGTCAGGTTCTAAATTTGAGGGAACCTAAAGAGACAACAGGATCATGTGACAGAAGACACTGTCTGGTTTATTTATGGAGCAAAAACTGAGAGCAGACCCAAAGCAGCCAGTTTAGAAACTGGTTTCTGGTGGTCTCTCAGTCTCTGCGATGGCTGTGGAGGACTTTTGTCCCTCTCTGCTGCCTGTAGCTATTCAGCTCATGGAGGTTCCTGCACGGCTCTGCTGCCGGGTTTGGATCTCAGTCCTGTTGGGGGGCTGGCTCCAGATTCAGCTGTGGGACAGACGGCCTCCCGTCTGACTCTGAACACTTTGGGTTCCTGGTGGACTAAGGTCCTGGTGCTGCAGAACCTGCTCGGATCATCTGGGATGGATGAGCTAGGGGTGACCTTGATGGACAAACTGGCAGCCATCCTGAATGTCTTCACCTGTGAATAAACTCTCTCTCTAAGGGGTGGTGGAATCCAGATGACTCTTAGGTTATGGCTGATGTCTTTCCTCCTTGACATTGTGTAAACACACTCCTGCTCCAGACTCCTGAATTTTGCTAAATAATTAACTGAACGAGAGGCGTTTTTGCTTTCTTGGTTTATATCGAACTCGTTTAGTTTGAGGACGGGATTCGTTTTCATCGTTCCCGCGCAAGTAAAACCCCAGAAATCAAAAGATGGTGGAGCCCCACTTTCACGTTTTTCTAGAGACTAGTTCGCAACTGAACTGTAAAACATATGAACGTGAAAGGGAGAAATTGAGAAGAATAGTTGGAAAGACAGATCAAGAATGGAGTTTGAAAGGAATATTGGGAAATTATGGAAATATAAAGGATATTTGTAGGATAAGAAAAGCGTTATTTATTTTTCTTCAAAACACAAAATTAAAAAATAGAATATGACTGATGTAGAATACTGTTGCTACACACTCGTGTACAGTAGGTGGCGGTATGCACCTTAAAGTTGATTGCGACCCGCCATAATAGAAAAGAAGAAGAAGAAGAAGAGGAGTTTGCAACACTGGGATCGGTTTTCCACCTTGCGCATGCGCATTGCACACCTACTATCGGCCGGTGCAGGGAGACAGCGGTAAGCTTTGTTGACTATGTTTTAATTAAACCTTAATACGTCAGTAATCGTTAACTTTTGTTTTAAATGGTACAAATAAATTATAATATCAATCTACATAAATGCATTGGAAAATGTGCTTTTTGAAAATGTTTCTACATTGGTCATTTACTAGCAGACAGCCATTCAGGCCTGGTTCTCAATATCACACTGGCACGAGGCTAATGTAGCAGCAAAGCTAACGATGAAAAATCAATGTGTCGAGGTAACTATTTTACAGAGGCAGTGCCACGATTTAATTTGTTTGGAACTAAATAATATACGTTTTGGAAATGCCATGGAACCATAATATCGCAGTGTTGAAAGCCGAAACATCTGTTGGAACTACAACATTGTCAACACTAGCCCTCTATACAAATGTAAATTTTAGCTGGGTTAGCTGCTAGCGCTAGCTGACTGTCAGTAAGTTGCTAATGTTAGCAAGGCATTCTGTCGAGGTCGCTGCTGTGTCAGCAGTTATTTATCTGTGGAGCACAGTAAACAGGAATTATAACCAGTTCGTGTAGCATATATCCCAATTCCCATTTCTTTCGTATTTTGTTTGCATCGTGCAACATTGCTGTCAGATAATGAAATTAAATCGGGATGCACTACATGCAGTGTTGTATATTTGTATAATTATTATTGTATTGTTTGGTTTGGTGTGAATTTGGCATTATGTCTCACCTTTTGAGTTTTTTATAGCCAGGCTTTTTTATATTCTAGCCCCATTTCCCTGTCTTAGGTTGATACTTAAATTTAATTACCGTGAGCTAAATGGACATGCCAAGATCACGTGGAACTGTGTGATTTTGTTTCTGTTTTTGGAGATTTCGTCATCTCCCAATCAACAGTTTTTGCTAATTTTCTGTTGCAGAATCCAAACCGTTCCTAGATCCTACAGGTAATATGAGTATCTCTCTTTAGTATTGTTTTGTTGTATTGTGATTGCTACCCTTAGTAATCATGCTTCTTGTCGACAGACAAATCTGAATGTCATAGGAAGCACTAGCATCTTAGATCACTGTGATGGCATCTTAGATTAGTGTGATAAGCAGAGCGGCGTTAGCCTTTGAATGGTGGCTTGTTTATTTTAGTTTTTTTTTTTTACATTGTTCAGAAACTCAAATGAATTATTTAATTTTACATTACTGAGGGCTATTCCGAGTAAAGAGTGTTTTATGGCTTGTTTGTTTGATTTGTTTATGTCCCCAGTAACTTCATTGGCCTGGTGAGCAGAGATTTCCCTTAACCTGCATGAGTCATGGCCCAATTCGGGGGACAGAAGAATCCGCCGTGGGCGACTCAATTTCCTGCCACAGCAGTTTCTCAACCAGGTCACTCAGGACAGTCTATTGACCTTAACAGCCTGCACTGTAAGTATATCAAACCAGAATATCAGGAATGTTTCATTTCCAGTTTTATGTCCAATGATCCTCTCAAAAATATGCATCCTTTGACTTTTCCTGTGACTGGAACATTTGCTTTTTTATAGTCTTCCCTTTCCTATTACACACAGCATTCTCCACTCACAGTATTTTTTTCCACTTAACATAACATCTCATGCTTCACTTTTCTTTTTACGTTCAGCTCTTGGGGTACAGCAGCCATCTCTTCTGGGAGCATCTCCTTCCGTTTATTCCCAGCAGACAGCTTTGGCTGCTGCCTCTCTCAGCAACCAATCTGCTGCAAACTATCAGCTGTCTCAACAAACAGCTGCCTTGCAGCAGCAAGCTGCAGCAGCTGCTGCCGCAGCACTTCAGCAGGTCAGCCACATTGAATGAGTGCTCATCTATTCCTTGTTGCACATGGCACTCTTTAGTGAACTGACGACTCTCCTGTGGCGTCTTTAATATCTGCAGTCTCAGATCAATACAGCACTCCAGCAGTATCAGCAGCATCAGCAGCAGCAGCAGCAGCAGCAACAACAACAGCAACAGCAGCAGCAGCCTCCCCAACAACCCCCTCAACAGCAACTGTACAATGTACCTCACCAGGTGAAGAGCACACTTTTGGCTATCATTTTTGGTTTCAAATAAGCCTGTGCTCATGCACAGGACTCTCAATGGTATCAGTCACTACTAGACTAGAAATTGCATTGTCATACTGTATCTTTTTAGGTTTGATTAGTAGGAGTTGAATTGAATATTGAATGTTATTTTTTATTTATTTATTTATTGCTGAAATTAATCTACTTCCTTAGTTTAAAATGAGAAAACATTACTGTAGTCAACAACGTTGTCACTCTTGACATTTTCTCTTCCTAATTCACAGCTTCCTCAGCCTCAACAGGCTCTGCTCTCTCAGGTAATGTAAAAAAACTCAGACAGCTCAACAAAAAGTCATAATTTCCTTTTTTTTTACTGAAGTTTCTTTGTTTTATGAAGAATGAAGTTACCTATCAAAGTAATTCTTTTGTTCCAATGGGGTTATATGAATGTTCTGTTTGATGAATATGTTTACACATTAAACCGACTCCTGTGGGACTTGTTCTATAATCTGATTATCTTTATCTGACCCTCAGCCCCCTGTTGCCTTGCCCACAAGTCTGAGCTTGTCCAACCCCCAACAGACAGCCCAGATAACTGTGTCATATCCAACACCACGCTCCAGCCACCAACAGCAGACACAGCCACAGAAGCAGCGAGTCTTCACTGGTGTCGTCAATAAGCTACATGATACATTTGGCTTTGTAGATGAAGATGTCTTCTTTCAACTAAGGTGAAAGACTAGGGCTTGGCCTGTTTCAGAAATACAATGCTGCCATTATCACTACAAATAGATCCCTCACTTTATGCTTATATTGACCCTGACTTCTTTTAGCTTTAATTCCTGACCCTTAATAAGTCACAGACAGTTTTTTTAGTCCCCTCTTCACATTTCTTTATTTTCTTATTCTTGTTTCATTTGATCAGTTTTACACTATGCAAAAAATTAATGATCTTTCTTTGTCTGGATCATTTGCAACTACTTGTAGTGCTGTGAAGGGCAAGACTCCCCAGGTTGGTGACAGGGTCCTTGTGGAGGCTGTGTACAACCCAAATTTGCCCTTCAAGTGGAATGCTCAGCGGATCCAGACTTTACCTCAGCTAGCAAATCAGTCGGTGAGAAAATTCAGCACTTTGTTTGCACAGTTATTGTACATTATAGCTCAGTGAGTATCCAGAATGAATGATCACCGTCATCCTATTGTCATCATCCGCTCATTGTGTGAAACCTGTCTGGCTATTTTTTCCGCTGAGTGTCTTTCTAGCTCATTTGGCTTTGTTGATCTCAATAAATTTGCTGACTTTGCAACAATTACATTGGGATTATTGTTACATATCCACATGACTGTTTAATATACCTCATACCTTTAATTTTTAAACTGGGTAAAAATGTGTCCACACTGAGGAAGATTTGATATGCTCTCAGCTCTGTTTTTGTTTCTAGGTTTCTTATTTGACCATGTTGTTTTACCTCCCTTACTTTGACTGCCTTTTTTATGAATCCCCTCTAGCATCAGCAGCAGCCTCAGCCTTTACCTCAAGCTTCCCCTCAGCTCGGCAGCCTTTACAATGAGCCTGGGATGCAGCTGCGCTACACAGACATGCACTCTACGGACAACAGACAAAATGTAACCAGCTTTATGAATATTCTTCCCACTTCCCACTACCCACCTTAATTTACGATGGAAAAACAACACATCCCATATTTGTCTTGTTTAGTTCTTTGTTTTACAGAGATGGAATACATTTCTTTATTTTATTTTATAGTGAGATATTTATTTTCATAGCACCCTTTTCTGATTTTGGTTTTTCCCATTGGTAGATATTTCTTTTGTGGGTTAAACCGTGTTCCTGAAGCTTTTGATTATAGTTTAGATGCATTTTCATTATTCCTGATTTTTCAATCAGTAAATCTTTTTACAGGAAACATATTTATTTTAAGTATATGCAGTCAAGCAAGCATCAACCTAGATTTTATTCATTTGACTCGCCTTTGTGTTTTGCATGTATTTTAATGTAATATTTTAAATGTATCCATGGATCAAGGTTATAATTAGTCAACTTATTCGTCGTTTTCACCCTTATTTCTCTAAAGAGTCAGCCCCAAGGTCCCAACATGATAAAGGCTGGCCCCACCATGCTGCAGTCACTACCTCCCCCAACCACATTCAGTGTTCCAGCCCAGGCCCCTCCTCCTTCCCTTCTGCAGGCCCAACTTTCTGCTGCCTCTCTGGCCCCTCTCCTCCAAAACCCCCCACAGCCTCTGCTTCCACAGCCTCCACCAAAAGGTAAACCCATGGTTTTCAGCTAGTTTAATATCTGAATGGTTTGGTTTAATAGGTACAGTAACAACTTTTGTAAATTGAATCAAACCTTTTTTCAACAAACCACACTCTACTTTTAGAACAGTGAATTCAGTTAAACTTGTTAGTCTACCAATCTGCCGTAGTCTACCGTTTACCGCAGTCTACAATAAATCCTACAAAGGGGAAGGGTGGGAACAGTACACATGTTTAAGGAGCCTATTTTTACCATGGAAAGTCATAAAGGCTCCTGTTTGTTTTAGTTGCAGCTGTTTTGGAACTATGTTTACCACAAATTGGATTCTCCTTATGTGTTATGGTAAACATTTACCAATAGGATCTTCACACATTTTTGCTCGTCTCCAGATGTGTTTCCTGGTGGTCTTCTTCAGCCTCCGGTAAGGATGATGCCACAGCCGCAGCCTGTTAGACGAATCGAGCCCCCCCCTCGTTTCCCCACGCGCAACGATCGCGGCCCAGAGCTCATCCTTAGGTCTAAAGAGGAGCGCAGGTGAGACACTGATCATTTGGGGTGTCTTTAATTAAATTAAATTTAATTTAATTAAAGTGTCTTTAATTGTGTGTTGAAGGCCACTGAAATGTTAACGTTTTCTTCTGCAGAGACAGAGAGCGTGAGCGCAGGCGATCAAGAGAACGCTCACCCACCCGCAAACGATCCAGAGACCGCTCCCCAAGACGTGAGCGCTCTCCGAGACGGCCTCGTAGAGTGGTGCCCCGCTACACAGTCCAGTTTTCCAAGTTCAGCTTGGATGGGTGAATGATATTTCTGTTTTCCCATGCTATTCATTTGCTAATGGGTGGTAGTAAATTGGTCTGTTTAGGAGAAACCTGGTATGAACTGTCCTCTCTTTACTCACCAGCTCTAGCTGTGACTTGATGGAACTCAGAAGACGCTATCAAAGTCTCTACATTCCCAGCGACTTCTTTGATGCAGTCTTCACCTGGGTCGATGCCTTCCCTTTTACACGGGCATTTCAGCTCAATAATGCCTGTAACTTCCACATCCTGCACAAAGAGGTGGATCCTCTAGTCAAAAACACAGCTGTGCTGGACCCTCCTGATGTTAATCACACCTACAGCGCCAAGGCATGTCTGTTATGAATTTTCTCTGTGAAGTAAAACAGTGAAATGTTTTTATCAATAACATGTCAAATTATTAAGCAACAACTTTTAAATGTAATCACTGTAAACTTGGGTTTTTAGTCATGTTTAAAACAGTCCATGTAAAAATGGTTTGATGATCCCTGCAAACTGAAAGGCATCATCTACCAGTGAGTGTTTGAAAGGGGCTTCTCTTTTAACAAGTCTTCTTTATGGTTCAGGTGATGCTGCTGGCTAACCCCAGTATAGAGGAGCTCTACCACAAGTCATGTGCTCTTGCAGAGGACCCACAGGAAGTCAGAGACTCCTTCCAGCATCCTGCTAGACTCATTAAGGTACCCTATCCACCTTCCACAGAGCCCAGGAGCTGACAGGGATATAAAACCCTATACCACTGCCGAGTACTTGCTGTGTGGAAGAATCATGAATGATGTTGTTTAAATAGTCCTGGTGATTTTTTTTTTCTTTTGGCTGTGATTCCTCTAAGGTATGATAACCTATATCTGACCTTTTTTTTCTTTTTGTCTCTATTCTCTTTGTGTGACTTTCCAACCCCTGATTTCAATATTCCAAACCCCTTTTTGCCCAATTTCTCATCTCCTATTTCCATCTGATCTGACCTTTACTCTGGGGCTGTCCTTTATTCCCATTTCTCTTTTCCATGCAGTTTCTGGTGGGCATGAGAGGTAAAGATGAGGCCATGGCCATTGGTGGTCACTGGTCACCCTCCCTAGATGGAGCTGACCCAGAGAAGGATCCATCGGTCCTTATTAAGACAGCCATACGCTGTTGCAAGGCACTCACAGGCATAGACCTTAGTCTTTGCACTCAATGGTAAGTACTGTTGTCAACATTTCTGCCCTTTTAACTACATTTATCAAATCCCAAGTTTAGTACCTATCATAGGCTGCCTTTTTCCACTACCTCCATACTAAATCTCTGTTGGACGTGTTGGATGACATTTTTGTGTTGCCCTTTTTAAATATTAATGATTATGCTGTTGTTAATTTTCCCGCTCTTGTTTACTATTATTGGTTGTGATGTGCTGTGTTCATTTTTGCCTTTTGTGTGTTGTTGTCTTGGCTCTCTTTGTGACACTCTACTCATGTACACACATTTCATTGTAATGAAAAACCAAACGCATGGACTTGGTGGTTGGAAGCAGTAGCCTGGACCAGAAGACCTTGCCATTACATTATTTTCTTCATTTTCTATTCCCTCTGTTAAATATCTTATATATTTAACTGGCTTTATCTGTCCTGTTGATTCTCTTTAATGTAGTGCATTAAGTGTACCTGAGGTTAAATGCTGAACACTCATCCAAAATTGGCTGATGCTACAACAGGAATGAATTTTGGGGTGTGATTTATTTAATTTTCTGTCAACCTTCCCAAAATGGCTGGCGTAACCTGTGACAACAGTTGGAGAGCAGCAGACTGGTTCCATTTGTCTATGCTGTGTGTTGTGTGGGAGCAGGGTCACTGTAATGATGTGAGCAATCATTCAGTGACCAAATGGGAGGGAGTAGCTGTAGAAGGCTCGCCCTAGCACGGCTTGCCTCTTGTACTGTGCCCTGACAAGAATGTTTCTTTCCAATGCACCCTCTTCCTTTGCGACAGGTATCGTTTTGCAGAGATTCGCTATCATCGGCCGGAGGAGACACACAAGGGGCGGACAGTCCCTGCTCATGTGGAGACAGTGGTTTTGTTTCTTCCGGATGTTTGGCATTGTCTTCCTACCCGCTCAGAGTGGGAGGTGCTGTCACGGCGACTCCGGGAGCAGCTGGCTGAGAAGCTGTCGGTCGAGCGAAAGGAGGCGGATGGAGAACAGGCACTGAACCGCTAATCCCTCTCTTCTCATTTCCGCTTCTCACAGGAAGGCACAGGAATTACAAAACAAATCCCAGAAAACACAACAGACACAAAGCACCCTTCCCCTTTCACGCACACAGATACAAGAACAGGCATATTAACGTTCCACCAAACCTCACCCAAACTTCTGCTTACTCCTCCACCTGTCCCCTTGTCCTCTTCTCCAACTCCTCCATTCCTCCATCAGCACCTCCACATTCCCTCACATCCAGCAGACACATACAGTGGAAGCAGTGAGACTAGGTTGTGTGGTTTAGGCCCCGGACGCAAATGGTAAAACAGCTTCCAGTTCCATGATTTGGTACTAATCTGGTGTAATGATTCATTTCAATCCTGGCATTTTGCTGCGCATCATTTTCAGAAAATGTGCTTTTAATTTGGGTGCATGTAAACAGTTTCCATCAACTGAAGCCAGTGGTCAGTCACTGGGGCCAATCATTTGGAAGTGTGCTGGAACCTGTGGAGTCAGTTGCGTGTAAATGATGTTTGGTTTAGAATTGTGCATTTCCGTGATATTCTTTTTCACATCAATTTGATATTGTCTGATAACAAAAAGGGAACCTCCCCTAAGTCCTGCTTCTTGTCTGTTCTTGTTGTTGGATTCTATACTCTCATTTGGACTATTTGTAGAACTTGGTTTTTCCAGGGCAGTTGGTTGGACAGGTGGCTCCAATCATATAGATGCATAAATCGAATCTTTTTTGGAGTACTCCAGTAATAGAGCATAGTAGGGCTACCCTATCCTCATTCTGGAGGCCAGCCTCAGTTCGCCTGATGTACCCACACCTCTCATTGATTTTTTATCTTTTTTGTGTTCCACAGATTGATTGATTGGCAGCTGGGGGGCATTTCTGTTTCTATTTATGTTATGTTATTTTATTCATTTATTTTTTTGTTTTATTTTGTAAGAGCTAGAGAGCTTCCCTGTGTATGCTTCAATAGCAGTGGACTTAAACACAGTCGAGCTCACTAGGACAAGACAATGAAAGACAGATGAGACCTTGCTTCTTGCACGGATCAACTTTAAAACTCACTAAGGCCTTGAATGGTGTGCTGACGGTGTGCTATTCCACCTTTTTCCCCCTTCTGTCTGTCTCTGTCTTAATGCTTTTCTATCAAGGAGGAAGAGGAAAAGGATGATGAGGAGTCAAAGGATGTTAGTACTCCCACACACTGGGCAAAACTTGACCCGAAATCGATGAAGGTATGTTTTACACTGAAACCAGCTCAGCGGTAGATGGACGTACGCAACAAAGCAGTTAAAGACACATCTCTCTGTAATTTTGACTGGGCTAATTCTCATTCTTGTTTGCTCCCCCTTTAGGTAAATGACCTCCGCAAAGAGCTGGATTGTCGCTCCCTGAGCTCCAAGGGTTTAAAATCACAGTTGATTGCTCGCCTCACCAAGCAGCTGAAAGTGGAGGAGCAGGTGGAGGAGTCCAAGGAGCCTGAGAAGCCAGAGACTAAAGTTGTTGAGGAAGAGGAGCCAGCTCGAGTCGAAGATGACAAAGAGGTGCGGGATCTGAATTTGAAAGAAATGTGCAGATATGATATGATGCCCACAGAGGGTGCTGATAGAGGGTTGATATTTAAGATTGGTTTTTAATAGCTTGAACCATCTGTTCCACCCATCCATCCATTATCAATACCGCTTATTCCCTCATGGGGTCGCGGGGGGAACTGGAGCCTATCCCAGTGGTCAACGGGCGAGAGGCAGGGTACACCCTGGACAGTCCGCCAGTCCATCGCAGGACCACACACAGGACATACAAGGACAAACAACCACTTACATTCACATTCACTCCTAAGGGCAATTTCCCCAATCTCCAATCAGCCTAACATGCAGGTTTTTGGACTGTGGGAGGAAGCCGGAGAACCCGGAGAGAACCCACGCAGACACAGGGAGAACATGCAAATTCCACCCAGAAGGGCCCTGGTTCCCCCGGGATTCGAACCCAGAAGCTTGAACCATCTGTTAAAAGAAAAATGCTGTGTTGACATAATGCAGAAAATACTGCTCTAGTATTGAATCTGGTGAATTTTCTTGAAGGAAGAGGAAAGGAAGAAGCAGGAGGAGCTTGAGCGTCAGCGGAGAGAGAGGCGCTACATCCTCCCTGACGAGCCCACCATCATTGTCCACCCAAACTGGGCTGCTAAGAACGGCAAATTTGATTGCAGTGTCATGTCCCTGAGTGTGCTGCTGGACTACAGACTGGAAGACAACAAAGAGCACTCTTTTGAGGTGAGAACTCCCCTTAATATTTGCGCTGTGCCTTTCAGGGACAATTTACAGTTCATAATTGCTTTGATGGGTTGAAGCTGAGACATTGTCTCCTTCTGAATAGGTCTCCCTGTTTGCTGAGCTGTTTAATGAGATGCTGCAGAGAGACTTTGGATATCGCATTTACAAAGCCTTTGCTGCTCTGCCCTCCAAAGAAGAGAGGAAGGAGAAGAAGGCCAAAAAAGAGGCAGACAAGAAGGAGGTCGAAAAGCGTGAAGGGAAAAAGGAGAAAGAGGAAGAGGGTGAAGAGCCAGCAGCAAAAAAGACCAAGGAAGATGACGAGGACAAGAAGAAGGCAGGAATCTTACATTTTCCCAGTTTGGAAATCTATTACTTGTTCTGTTACACTCAGGATTGAAAAAATCTAATTGTGTTTTTTGTTTGAATCCAGTGTGAAGAGAAGCCCATCAAAAAGCAGGAGTCTCGAGATGAGGAGGACAACGAAGATGATGGCAGCACAGCCAACGTTGAAGAGTACGACCCCCTCGAGGCTGAAGATGCAGATGACGATGAGGAGGACGGTAGGGTTTTTTTCTTAAATCGCAGCCCAGCTGATCCTAAATCTGTGTCGTTTGGTCTATGATGAGAAAACATGCACCACGCTGAGCCTGCTGTGATGGACAACCTTTCCACAATTTCTGAGCCCCATGACCATAAGCAACTTTTAAATTGTTTACAGTTTTTCTGTTTTGTCACACTGATTTTCTTTGTTTTGTGTTACTTAGACAAAGATGACGATGACTCCAACGACAGAGACCGTAAAGACCGCAAAGATGACCGCAAGTCGTCAAAAGAACGGTCCTCCAAAGACAAGGTTGGCATTTGAAGCTTTATTTTCAGTGTTACTTTTGAGGAATTGCTGTGGTTTTGTTAGACATTGTGATTACTATCGCTCCACCAGGAGAAGAAGCAGATGGTCACACACAACAGGGAGCTGCTCATGGCCTTCGTCTACTTTGACCAGAGCCACTGTGGCTATTTGCTGGAAAGAGACCTGGAGGAGATCTTGTACACTCTGGGTCTGCACCTGTCTCGTGCACAGGTGAGCTGACATGCAGTTTTTTGGTGGAACAGGCCTTAATTCTTGGCATGTCGCTTCAATAGTTCCTACTGTCTGCTGATGATTTCCTTCTATGAGTACATGTTCTGCAGTGTGAGCTCAGAATATCTGTCTGTGTCTGTCTGTGTCTTCAGATAAAGAAGCTTTTGAACAAACCAGTGGTCAGAGAGTCTTGTTACTACAGAAAACTGACGGACAGGGGAAAGGATGACCCGACTCCCTCCTTTAATGAAGCCCAGATAGAAAACCTGATAGGTGAGCAAACATGGATGTTTGGTCGCCTCTGTTTGTGTTTTTACACATCTATATGTGCCCGACATAAGGCCGCTTTTTTCTTTTTCTCTCAGGTAACCGAGGACTGATTCCTACTTCAAAGGTCCGTGTTAAGTCCGAGACCACTGAGTCTGGTAATCTGATCGTGTACAACGGGGCCATGGTGGACATTGGCAGCATGATGCAGAAACTGGAGAAGAGCGAGAAGGCCAGAGAGGAGATAGAGCAGAAGCTCATGCTTCAGGATGCCAAAATGGGTAGAGTTTGGATTTGAATTTCTCTTCACACCGAAATGGTGCAAGCTACACTCTGTGTCAGTAGTCCGTCAGGACAGTGATCTGGCTCAATTTGAGCTTTGCTAAAGAAAGCTTCAGTCTCACTTCATAACCAGTCATCTTCTCTTTGATTTCTGGTGAAATCGTGGACTGACACATTGACTCCAGATGCCACAAAATCGCATGTCGTCAAACGAATTTAGATCTGATGCTGCATAGTGACTTTGACCCGGAACTGCCAGGGATAGCCCTCTGCTGTGGGTTTTTTTTTTTTAGGTGCCAGGCTTCTCAGACACATGGAGGACGGTCCTTTATATTTCTCCCAATTGATCTGAATTTCCATCCTGAAATCTTGTTGGTTACTTATGCAACAAAAAAGTGTAAGAATGAGAATAGCAGGACAATCTGTTTTACTTTTTAGCGCAGAGGGAACTTTAGAGTGTTTCTCCCACCTGTCCCGAAAATCGGACCACTCCAGCCTAAATTTATGAATGAACCCACAACTTAAGGACTATCCCTGTGTGCTTCACTATGGGGCTCTGGGCCAGTGGGAGATGAATGACCTCCAGTCGGATAAAGCTTTGAAAACTGTGAGGTTTAGGTGCTTATTGTTGTTCAGCCATCTGATTCAACAGATGTTTCTCATTCTCCTGAATCATACGAGGGTTTTCTCATTTGCTGAGTGGTTCAGCACACGTGTCACGTGGCTCACATTGTCCTGTCTGTGTGTCTCATTTCAGAGGGAGATGCCAAAGTCAAAGCTCAGTTGGAACAAGCCAACAAAACCCTGACCAAGGAGCTGGAGGAGGTCAGAAGCACTCTCAGCCAAACTGAGGAGACCCTGAAGTCTGCCGAGGAGAAGAAGGAGATCTATCATGAGCAGATGAAGAAGTCGGTTACCTCTCTGACCGGCACCGTCAAAGGGCTGCTGGAAGTGCTGAATAAGGTGCGCAGCGCAGCTCCGTCTAACTATTAATCCGCTGAAGGGCTGAGCTCACAATGATCGTTTTTCTCCTTTTGTCAGGATCAAGAAGTGGAGGAGTCTGGTGTAGAGCTCACAGCGGATCACATTCGGACATCTCAGACGAACGGAGCTGATGAATGAGTTACAGTTTTCACATGAATGAAGCTAATCTGTAATACTGATCTTAAATTGTAAATACTCACTCAACGTGTAATTTGACTGTGCTTTATTTGAATCTACTGTGTCCCAGGTGTCTGTATAATTTAATTCATGAGTTTAGTTCCCTTGATTCAGTTCCAGTTGAGTAACTTTTCTTACTTTAAGTCATTTTAAAACTTTTTTTTTTTAAAGCGTTGAAGCGCTTATCTTCAAAGTAAGTTAAGTTCTGTTGCTAACATTTGTTTTCTGCCGTATTTTGAGCTTTGTTATGGCCAATAAAGTGCCGCTTTGTGGATTTAAATGCCAGTATGTATGAGTGGTACTTGATTATGTTTTTCTAATGAGCAATAAGGATGCTATTTATGTGAGAAAGTATTCATAAAGAACTATATTTAAAAGAAACTAGTTTTGGATGGAAAAGGGTGGGGAGGGTGTCCATGTGTTTCGGATAGAGTTTCCTCATACTGAATCCCTCTCTGCTGTTGACCGTGTAGAACTGTGTTCTATAAGCATTTCATCTGTATGTCTACCGTTTGGCTGGTATAACGGGTTTCCGCAGTTTGTTTTCACACACACAGCTATGCATGGTTCCGGCCTTCTCTCGAACCTTTGTTCTGTCTGCACCTCCTGACTGCGTTGCCAGAAAGAGAGTCTCAAGTTTTTACTGTGATGAGCGTTTGTCTGATTTTCTGCAAAGGAAAACTGCACATGAACCAAAAGCTAAGCTCAATGAATGTGTTCAGCTGAAGGAATGAGCATGAACATTTCGAGATCCATCCTTGATCCGTGTGTTGTTTGGGGTGTTCTTAGAAAGAGGCACAACTACATTTAACGTCCTTGAAAGCAGGCGATTTTATTTTTCTATTGAAAATGTACTATTGATGTCTTGTGAAAAGTAAAGTGGTCCTTTTAACACTACAGTGTGTCTGCATTTATTTTTTATTTGAAGGAATAGTTCAAGTACTGTTCTCAGTTTTATGACATAAGGTCAACCATTACTTAGTAAACAGTGCAAACTGAGAGTAAGTCAACTCTGTCCTCTTATTTTTAAACGGTTAAAGTGAAAATAAGAACATGACCATAGCAAATGGACAGAAGTGATGCCATAGTTTTCACCAGCAGATGGCAGCAGAGGTCACAGTTTGAGCACCTGCTCTGGACTTTTGAGAAGTGAGATTTCTGATTTGTAAAAGCCAAGGAAAAAATCTCAAATGTTACATTTGAAATCTACAGTCTCACAAACATGCACTTTATAGCTGATGAGTTTCTAACCGAACAGAATGAGAGACCACAGAGGTGAAGAAAGGGACGCTATACCTAAACACTGCTGGCAAAGTGGCAGTGAGAGTCACTTTCATATCCAGTTTCTGCTGTTCTTTAAGTTGAGAAATAAACGGCTGAGCAATATCAGTAATTGCATGTACATTTTCCTGTGATGAGGTAATGTGCATCATGAAACCATCAACTGTCGCTTCCAAATCGCACACCACAACACTGTTTACATTTTATCACAAACATATGCCCCCCCCTATTTGGCAAGCACACAGGACAAGCGTCCTGCTTTTATTTTTTCCACAGTGCTGGATAACTCTGGATCTAGGCTGATCTGTTAAGCCTAGCCTTTGAGAATGTAGGTGTCACTTTACACTTGGCAATGTCTCCGGAGGAGCACTAACTGAGTTTCAGAGCCCCCACATGGTCAAGACCCCCGCACACATGGCTGATCTGATTCATCGCCGTACACCTGTCTGCGCTCTCAGGTCAGCACGTCTGAGGCTGTTGGGACCTGTGCAAATTTTCAGGATAGATGTGATTGTTCCTATCAGGTAGTGACAAAGCTACTCCCCAAACTTTTCCATTGAAGCAAGATTTTAGTGACCTCCTTTTAAATGATGACATTTATTCATCTGTGGTATTATTAAAAAAATTATTCTATGTATTTGCTTGCAAAACACTTTGTTTTTTGTTTTTTCTGTGAGAGGTGCTATATAAATTGTGTACTTACTGCCATTTATAATTTTTCACAGGACAAAAATGAAACATTTTGCACATTTTTATGTTGAAGTTTCACTGAGAGATAAAAAAAAGGCTGATGGTGATTAGTGGGGAGAGTTCACACACTCACAGGTCGGTTTTGCCTTCCCCTTAGTGGCTCTCTGAAGATCGGGAGAATGTGTTGATGCTGCTGCGGTCAGTGCTCATGGCTGACGTGACCGGGGCTGATCCCTCGCAGCGCTGCCTCACACACACACACTTGCTGAATGACTCACATTCTTTCACTTCGCTGTTTCCTCCACTTAGACCAGAGATGGGTGGCCCCGCTCCTCCGAGGGCCAGTCAGCCATGGCACTGTGCAGATGTAAGAAACAGCTAGTTCTGTGGGGCTTTTGAAGCTCTGAACCACGCAGCTTTTTCAGCTCAACGCTGTTTTCTTTGCAGGAGGAAAGAAATCCCACTTGCGTCTTGGAATTTCCCTCTGGTTCACACAAAGTGTTGCTTTTAAAAAATGTGAAACAACATTTGAAAATGTAGAAATGATGAATGAGACTTATTTCTTAGGGCACAAACCAACATTAGCACCTGGAACTTACTGTTGTGTACCAACAGTTGTGTGACACATCAAATCTAAATCTAATGTTTAATCACTTGTTATCACTGTAAATTCATTTCAGCTCTACAGATGTACCCACCATCTGATATTTGAACAGCGCCTCCCTTAAGCCTTCTGGGCTGAGTTTGGTAACATCAGATGTAGGATTTTGTGTGGAAAAAAAGAGAGAGGACACATCGTTAATCAGGAAAGCGATCCCTCAGGTTGACACATTATGGATGAAGAATACTAACAACGTTAGATGTTGTCACTGAGTCAGTGCAGGACCAGGGAGGTCCCTGCCTCTCGGCCCCTAGGATCATCTTACCTTTGAAGCTTTTGTTTCCCCAGATTTGAGCATGATGTCTTAGAGTTGATCTGAGACTGAACTTGTTTCCGGTCCCTTTGTTCAAAGGTAATTACTTTTGTTCACTCCCTCCACTGTCTTCTCGAGGAAAAGGTTTTGAGTAATATCTCATCTGTCCTTTTCAATTTCTTATTGGTAATGGTTAAACAGCATTCCTGTGGTCCAGATGTTGTAGCTTTACTTTTGGTCAACGCGACTGCTGTTTTGAGCAGTACTTTAGGATATGGGCGAAAAAAAAGCAAATAACAGTGAAGCGTTATTTCCCTAATTCAAAGAGGCCATTTAGAGCATGTTTAAAGAATGACTTCAGTCCACAGTTCTGCAGTCTCGGTGCATCAGAGAGGTGCTACGACAACATCCATCCTTACAGGAACGGGCTCTAAATCACATTTGTAGGGTTTACAAAGCAGGAAACATCTCTGTCTATTCCCAGTCATTTTCCTGAGAACAATGGCAACTGGCAGCCCAGCACATTGGCAATAGGGCGACATTTGTCCTGCAGTTGTGCTCTGAATGATCGACAAACAAACCTCATTTGTCCCCATAGGAAATGCACACACACGCACCCCATACTTTTCTGCAGCAGCTGTGAGTTTTTATGTGAGAGGGTGGTTTGCACTTGCATTCTTATGCGTTTGCATGCACATGTGACGTGTGAAATGAAACCCCTCCAATAGGAGCCGGGCAGGTAACCCCACTCCCAGGCTGCAACAGAAAGCTTTTGTGGCCACTTCCCCTCTCCTACACTTTAACCCCCACCGGTATCAAAGAGCTCGCTAAGCCCACCATCCAGCCTGCCGACAATCGGGCCGTTTCAGCGCCGGATCGCCGGGGTGGGAAGCAAACAGGACTGGTTAAAAAAGGGAGTTTGGTTTCGTAAAAGATCGCAATCCCATTTTTTACCTGTGCAACTGCTCGCTGCTTTTTTATGTAAATCCGGCCAGTCTGAAGTCTGTGTGTGCACTGTGGAGCCCGTCCAGATGCAGCATGACCGTCCATTGATGTCGTCAGATTTTTTACAAGTTCCTTTCATTTGTAGATTTATTCAAAATGTTCTTTCTCCATGTTATGTGCACATCAACACTTCAGAGTCACATTTATCATGACAAAAGCAGCCCTCCTGCCTAACATGCCGCCATTGAACCACTGTTTGTTAACACCCTGCTTTGTTCCAGGACAATCTCACTGCTGATGGTGACATGTCAGGCTAAGCACAAATTTAGCTGACAAAATGTTGTATTGTGAAGCTCAGCAGACTTTTAGTGACAGACATTCTCACTTTAATTACAGAAGTTAAAGGCCGAACTTTATTTCACCCCCAAAACCGTGCAAGAGTTGTTGCTCTTCATTGGGGAGCAGAGAAATTAGTTTCCTGCCTGATTAATTCTGATAAATATGGGTCATACGGGAAAAAGTAGACCCAGCTTCCCTCATAAACTCTCTCAGATAAAATATTATTTTTCCGCTCCGTTCACATCACTGAGTTTAGCCAGAAATCCTCCTGACCACCAAAGTCAAACAAACAGGTCAACCGCCCTCTTAGGTGGTGTTTGATATTCCAGGTAATTGATACATGAGAAGGCCCATTGAGCAGCTTTGCCAGTCTTCTCCAGAAGCCTGCACAGACCCCTGCAGGAGTGGGCGGAGGGGCCCCTGCTCAGCCGGAGCTGCAGGAGCCTGGCTTCCTCAGGACGGGTGCAGCAAAGTGGTGTGGGTGGAGAGGAAAGGATCGACCTCTCAAAAGCCGTCCTCTGGGAGTACTGGGTTACAGTGTGAGAAAGTTCTGTATTTTCTTTTTTTTATAAAACCGTTACTGGGTCATCTCCATGAACACTTCACCTCTGAGCTGCTTGGACAAACCGTCCCAACATCTTGATGACCAGCAAAGCCCTGACCGCCCACTTCTGCAGCGGACCCCCTCCCTAATTCACAACCGGGGCTGTGGATGATAGAATGTTGATGCCAGGTGGCCTTTTAATGCAACTGTACACCATCTGACATGAATGTTTCAGCATGTTTCGCATTTCACTGCTCACAATACTCACACAAAGAACGGTATTCTCCTGGGATTAGCATCTACAGTTACGACATAAAGGGACAGTCCTGAAATGCCACAGCATGCTGGCCTGAGGGGAAGCATGTCACCTAATGAGATGATCATACAGTGGGAACCCAGGGCTGCATTCTGCAGAAACAAACATTTCCTTTGCAAAATTGGATAACGAGTTGTCGTTGGATACATGCGAGCGTCAAAACATCTTCAGATGTGTCAGTCTTTGTGCGGTGTGTAAAACCCCTTTCACTCAGACCAGCTGGAGTAGCTGTGAGCTGGCCAAAAGCTTCAAAGGTGGAAATTCAACGGGCCAAAAACTCAGATCATATTGTTGTTCAAAGACAATCTTATCTCATAGCAAAATATTCTCATTTGAACAAAAATAATGAGATTATACCATCAAAATAAGCTTAGTTTTTTAAACCCTTCAAATACAGCATATGCACATAAATGTACACATATTTTTTTCAAACATTAAAATGAACAGTCTTTTTCTGATCTTTCTGAGACTTGTCTTTCCCCCCTTGTTTTTGTGTTAGTTTGGTCCAATTTCTATTATTATCTATTTTACTTACATTTAATTTAGCACAATATATAATGGATGAAACTAATTTTTTTCAAGGTGGTTGACTAAGACATTAGGACATGATCCTGTAAATTATTTCAATCCTATTTCATTTAGTTTGGTAAATATACAAGAAAGCAACAGTTTGCTGAATATTTATGGAAGGTTTTATTTTCATTAACTTTCTAATATATGTGTAGATTTAGATAAAACAAACAACAATCAAAACAGTACAAAGCTAGCTGGATACATTGGAGTTAGACATGTTGCAATTCCTCTTAAAAACTGTGATCTGTCTCACGCCCTGTGTGTCTTCCGGCTCTCTGTCCGACATGTCTTCCTG